TTCTTCCAATGATGGAACTTTGATAGACCCCTTGTCTTCCTTTGTTTGATCGACGATTTTGTCGTTAGAATTAGATTGACTTGATTCAGTTGGTTCCAAAAGGTCCTTCGATGTATTTTCATTCACATCAATTTCCATCTCATTCATAGCGGCATTATAAATTCTAGATTGATCAGAATCAAGCTGTTCTAACGCCGGGACATCAATACGTTCCTTTTCCTCTTCCATTATATTCATGATTGTATCATTCATTTGTGATTCATTGTCATATATTTGATCCAAAAATGGCCTCCGGACATGGTCTATTTCATCGCCGTCTGTATCATGTTGCCTCACTTCATGACTAACATTATTTGTTGAATCTTTTACCTCGGACGTATCATAGTCAGTTGGATCCAAAATTGGTACATGAAAAACTTCATGCTTACTTTCTTCTATATCATTTTGTTCCAAGTCTATTTGTCTCAGAATAGGTTCTGAAACATCTTCTGCTTTAAATCCATTTTGCAGATCATTATCATCCATAATAATCGTCTCGTCTATAAAAGTTTTGCCATCATCGAGTTGTTTTAAGACTGGCAAACATATAGCTTCCTCGGTATCGTCTCCATGATTCGTTGTTTCAATAAAAGTAGTTTCATCTAATACTGAAAGGTCTTGTAAAAGTGGTTTAGGTATAGGCTTAGGAATAGATCCATAATCAACTACTTCTTCCTTTCCATTTATTTCATTGTTATTTATATCATTTTTGTCTTTCTCGACAAACTGATTAGGTATATATGATTCTGGAAGGTGTCCATTTTTCAAAATTATTTCATCCTCAAGACACTTTATTGAATTCAACCTAATATTGAATTTTTCCTCTGCCTCTTTTAATTTGAACAAAACCGTTTCAGGGTCTTCTTCTGCTACGGTTTTAAATATTGGTACATCATTAACGTGCTCCACCTCAATCGAGCAATTGTCTTCATTGTTCTCTTCTTCTTCTATTTCATTTGACCCCGACTGTTCATATATTGCATGCTTATTCAAAGTGCTTCCTTTGTCATTATTAGAAGAATCTTCGTAATCTCGTTCTTCATCAGCTAATGAGCCTTCAGAAATATTTTCAAAATCATCAATCAATTGTAGAGAATCATTAGAGCTCGAACCTTCTTTAAAGAATGATTCATGCGCATGTGATACTGGATCTGTTATTTCTTTATTTTCTTCTTCAATTCCAGAGAGATTACTAGCTTGGTAGTTGACATCAGTGGAATCATAATCAGCCGTGTAACCACTATTTATATTTGTGGAATATTGCGGTAATTCTGATTTATCATTCTGATATAAGCTATCTGAATCACGGGCTGTCATGAAAGAATTTTCATCTGTCATTTCATTAGATTCTTTGAGAACTGCTTCAGCTAAACCCATTAAATTATCACTTTGAAAAAGATTTTTTTCATTTATTACTTTATTCAAATTCATGGGTTCAACTTGGTTGGAATATACCAGTGAAATAGAGCTGTTATTTTCTAAGTTATTGTTAGGGTACACATATTCTTGATGTTCGTTTTCATCTTCATCTTCATCTTGATTGTCATCATCGTCTACTTCATTACTTAAGTTATCTTGAATTTCATTCTCCAGGTCTTGATCAAAGTTAACACTGGCTCGGTTGGATCCAGATTCGAAGCTTTTTTCTTTATTAATTTGAGTATTATTGTTCTCTTCGTCACTATCGAGAATAATTATTTCATCATCGCTATCATGCTGATTATGTCCATGGTCTTCTTCGAACTCATCTTCATTATCATTTTTATCCTCATGCTCATCTTCGTCTTCGTCTTCGTCTTCATCCTCATCTTCATTCGCTTCATCAATATCAAGACCATCATCATTTCCATTACTATATTCAGAACTATATTCAGATTTTTCATTTTGTTCACTATCATTTATATTCATATAATTATCCAGTAGCCTTGGCCTCCCATTCTTAATATGATATGTTACGCCTTGTGTTCGTAAAGGGTTTATATTTAATACTGGAGTTTCTTCCGCATCTTCTTCATTTTCTTCATAGCTATTAGAAACATTACCTGAATCAGAAGCCTCCTCTCCGTCTGAGGAGACAATTTCAATTATATCATCTTCCAGTCCTTCTTCGGATCCTAACTCAGGGTTTTCCTTTGTCTCTACATCTTCGGAAAAGTCCATCTCATCATCCTCATTATCCGTCGGTAATTTGCTTTCTGAAACTCCGTATGAAGCTTTATTATCTGAATGAATTTCATTTCCCTTTTCCAAAATAGAACTGAGTTTCCTGAAAGAATCATCAAAAGGAACTTGCCTATACTTCTCTCTTAAGTCCTCCATATTTGTTTGGTTTTTTAATTCTATGGATTCAAGGTATTGTCGGCTTAAAGTCCGTTTCATACGACTATCTAAGTCATCTATCCAAGATAATAAATCCTCCAGTCGGTTATCATGCTCTATGCTTGTTATTGTTCTTGAATTTTCAATCAATTTACTCTTGGATGGGGTATGTATTTCAGATTGAACTGGAGTCTCCAGTTTTTGTTTTTTAATAAGTGGTTTTACCTTAAACGGTGATGGAAATTGATCTATTCCCATATTTGTATTGACGACCTATCACCTATATAAATATATTATAGACCTATAATTGTACTTTAGCATTAGTACTTTTGTAATGATAATATTTCGCAAATATAAAAACCATTGAATCCTGTACACGACTACATTATTATGAAAGAGTCCGATCATATACTGTAATATACTTTCTTTTAGGTTGCACAGAAGCACAGAAGGGAATTTGAAGAAGACTCAATTCTGTCACACATTCAGGGCTGTATTAAATCAATAAAAATTCTAACATTGGATCTATAGGTATTGTAAAAAATTAATTATATATATTGAATATACAAATGAACGCTCTATGATTTACAAGTAGGATTTAAAACGAGTCTTATGTGAACTCCAATGCTATTAAATTATCTTAAAAATTGTCAAAAATTTCATAGAGAGTTTTGATTCTATTAAATTTACCAATATTGTTAATTTCTCTAAGTTGGAGATTTTTCAATGTCTTTAATTCAGACTCCAATAATAATTCTTCTTCATTACCTTTGACATCTTCACGCTCACATTTCTCTAATAATATTTTATTGTCATTCTTAAATTGTTGTATGTTCTGTAATATGTCTGCCATACAGAAAGTTAAAGAATTGTGTAAGAAATTATATGCGCTGAATTCCTTGTGTCTGAAGAGATAGAATGTCTTAGAAGCAGCTCTATCAGCACTTCTTGGTACTTCTTGTATTTCAATCATATTGAGATTCATTAATTTAAAAAGTTCATTTCTAACTGTTTTATCTTTCAATAGAATCGAATTAGACAATGTTTTCTCATCAGCCAATTTTAACGACTTAAGACATCTTAGAAGTCTGAAGGAATCTAAACCTAAGGTTGTTTTAATTAACGTGTCGTAGTTGCATTGTTTTACATATTTCATTAAATCAGTATATGGCACCGTATACGTGCCAGGAGTAATTTCAATCAAGAAAGGGATTACTCCGGATGACAATAGTTTCAAATGATGATTGATTAGGGAAACCGAATGGGGTTCAGAATTGTCGGTATTATGCATATCAAAATCGAGGTTATTCTCCAGTACACCAGAGTCGATTTCAATCATTAAGTTATTTGTGCCATCTTCTGTCTTAATCTTCTTGGAAATCGTGTCAGATATGTCATCGTTGACTCTTTTTTTCGGATTGAATGTTGGCTTTAAAAAGTTATGAGTAAGAATTGAATTCCTTAAGTCCAACTCCTTAGGAGCGATCTTCACTAAGTCTTTCACATTAAATACTATTTTCTTATCATCAACTAATTGATTTTCAATAGAGTTTACGAATAAGCGTTCTTCTACTGGATCGTTTATCAATCCAGATATTTTCAAAAAATTATGTCTTAAGTCAGGAGAATTCTGTTCAATAAGTTGTAGAGCACATTCGTATACTTTGGAAGTCAATATACCAATTCTAGCCTTGGCTAAGTTAGCCAATTGTTCTGTTCTGCGGTGTTTCTCGAACCTTGACAAATTGAACGCAATAACCAAGCTGGGGGACAATTTTTTAATACCATTCTCAATTTGAAACAATTCTTTGGAACTGTTACCCGATTCTAACAAATTAGTAAACTTGAGCTTTGTTTTGTCTTTTGCTTCATTAACTCTCTTGATTTCACTTATAGTTGTCGATCTTGGTGTATTTTTCAAAGTCTCTTGAAATAATTGGTTCCACAAGTCATCTATAGGTTGAAAATTTGACATCTGTACTCTGCTTAACCAACCATCGCTAAATAACTTTAAGAGCAAGTTTTCTTTGTTGAAGACAACTTCTGGGTCTTCGATATTTTGTAAATAATCTTCGATCTTCATATGACCTACTTCTATAATATTTTGTATAATTTCTGCTGATTCATCTCCGTATGTGAGTTTAATATGGTTAATGATATCCCCACTGTGCAAGAATATCAACAACCCATTTTCATTAAAACTGTAGAAAACTTGCTTTGAAGATTCTTCTTTCCAGTATGAAATGCAACTTAGTTGAATTAATGAGACTAATGTGGATTTGACTAATTTGAGAGGAACCTCCGATTTATTACTAAGATCTTTAGCAGTTAATCTGCCACACGATATTAAAGTAGATACGATTATAGCAGCAACTTCACCTAAATGTGTCTTTGCCAATGTAGTATATAAATACGATTTAGCAGACTGTGTCTTTGCAGAATCAGGAACGACAGCGTTCATCGTATAATGTAATTAGCCGTCTTACTTAGTACCACTCCTTGCAAATCACTATGAAAGTCTTGATGTCTGCTTGAAAAAAAATTGTACCAAAAGTTTTTATGTGCAGACCAAGTTAACTATGAATAAATTTCAGCTCAAGATATGAGAAAGGAATAACGAAGCAATAGCTTTACTAAAAACTATGTCTACGTTGAAAAGATGCTTGAAAGAAGCAAAAAGTTCAATTGAACAGAACGACCCTGAAGGTGCGCTAGAAGCTGTAGAAGAAGCACTTGAATTTGATTCTGAAAATTATTTTGCCTACATATTTCAAGGCAAATCATACCAACTTTTAAATGACAACGGTAAAGCTATCAAGTCGTTCGATAAGGCAACTAGCTTAGAACCAGAGAATCTACTTGGCTGGAAAGGGTATTTTCAAGTGGCTAAAGCACAAACAGATTATGACCTTTTTTTTCAGGTTTTAACGAAGATAATTGAACAACAAATTAACCAGGGAATCGGTATTGGAGAGACTTTAAAAGACACCAGAAATTACTTAGAACATAATAAATATAAGAGCAATCCAGAATTGTATGAAAAGTATCTAAAAAATATTATGCCTGGAACGGAATTGGGGGATTTGGTGGGATCAGAATTAGGCAAGCCTGAAGATAACTTGAAGACCTTGATTGATATTATGAAAAGGAAGGAAAATGACACTATCAGTCGTACTTTATCCAAAGAGAAGATGAGGTTCCCGCGTATTTTAACGATAGACCAAAAGAACTACTTGAACAAAGTTACTTGGTCGATCCATGAAAAATCCGGTTTGTCATCGATATACGAAATGTTTTTGAATATAAGTAATAATGATGAGTTGAGAAAACTAATCCAAGAGGAATATTTAAAATATAAGTATGATCTCCTTAAAGTTGCACCCGAAAAAAGTGGCCTTTTGGAAGAGATTAAGGACCTAATGGAAGGAATGATTCTAGTTAAAACAACATCTCTATTTTGTTGGACATTATATTTGGATTGGGTCGACGTACAAGATTTGGATCAATTAGAGAAAGACAAAATTATATTTTTCTTGAAGAATTTCCATAATGAAGGATTAGGAATGATGTTGTATTCATTTTTGATGAGTGATATCTCCCCATTCGATAAGACAGAAATAGTAAAAGAATTAGCCGTCATCACTAAAAATAAAAAAATAAATGATAGCATGAATAATGACAAACTAGAAGTTATTGATGATGAAGACGATGCGAAGTTATTAGAAAAAGTGCAAGAATCCGAAGATAATGATGTTTTTGAAAATACGCTATCACCAGATCAAGTGTTGAAGTTGATGTTAGAGGGCTATCAGAGATGTACTAATTCTGTATTAGCTAATCGTATAATATGCCGTTACTATATCTATTTGCGTGAATATGACCAAGGATCTGAAAAATGCCGTCAAGCTATTAAATTATTGGCTGACCTACAAAGGAGCTTAGGAGTTAACCTTGCGAATTCACGAGAAGATTTACTTTGCTCGTTAGCAATCATTTACACATATCATGAAGCTCCAAAGAATTACTCAAGGGCTTTACAATTGTATGACCGTATATTGGAGAGTAATGACGGTAATGTGAATGCAATTATTGGAAAAGGGTTGATTTTGATTGAAAAGAATGACCCAATCAAGGCCAAAGAACTTTTAGAGGATGTTCTCAAGAATCATCCTTCTAATAACCTGGCACTTATGGAATTTGGTTGGTGTGAAATTAATTTAGGGAACTATTTGGATGGGAGAAACGCTTTGGTAACTGCCTTAAACAAAATACAAGGCATGGATTTGAACAGTCGCAAAACTCGAGCACATGTTCATTGGAGAATTGCAAAAAGTTACCTCTTGGAAAAGAAAGATAGCAACAATATAGATGAAGCTTACAATCACTTAATTAAGTCATTAAAGGATTCCCAAAATTACGCACCATCTTACACCTTACTCGGTATACTTTATAAAGAATATTTTAATGATTTTCCCCGAGCTCAAAAATGTTTTTACAAATCATTTGAGTTGGACGTAGCTGAAATTGAAGCTGCGAAATATTTGGTCGAGGACCTTGCGGCAAAGAATGATTGGGATATCGCAGAAATTCTCTGTAAGAGGATTGTTCAATCTGAAAGGTCTCGAAGAACATTATTGAGTAAAACATACCAAGATGAAGATAGATCTTGGCCGTATAGAGTCTTGGGATGCTCTGCATTAAACAAACAAGATGACGCAAAAGCTGTTGAATGGTTTCAGACTGCACTCCGTATGGCAGCCATGGATACTCAGTGTTGGATTGGACTAGGTGAAGCGTATTACAATTGTGGTAGGTTAGATGCAGCCAGTAAGGTTTTCCGTCACACCTTGGATATCGGAGAAGGTTCATGGATCGTGAAATATATGTTAGGTCTTACAACCTGTGAAATGGGTGAGTTTAACGAAGGTCTTATGTATTTAGATCAAGCTTTGAATGAAAAACCTGAAGAGGAATGTATTTTGAATGCTATTTATGAATCTATGATTGAAAATACAAATAAGTTAATCGCAGGTGGATTTTTTGGTAGAGCCATGGAATCTATTTCTAAAGCAATTGATTACATTTTGAAAGGTTCGGAAGTGAATAAATCATCACAGAACATGTGGAAATCCTTGGGAGAATGCTTGCGAGTATTTTTAATTATACAGGGCCGCGTAGATATATCACCGTTAAATCATTTGATTGAAGTGTTTAAGGCAATTGATTTATCTTCAAGCACTAATCAATTGTTACAGGAATTGGTATCGATTGATGGTGGAGTAAATTTTGAAAAGGCGACAACCTTGTATGAATCAGAAGAATATACGGAAAGTATTTCAATTTTCATTATACTAGCCGCAAAAGCTGCGATTTCAGTTTTACCTAACAAGGTCGGGAAGTTGCTTATATCAGTAGTTTATTATAATTTGGGTTTAGCTTATTTGGAGTGCTTTAATCTCGTTGATAAGAGTAGTTATCGAGAATCCGCAATTAAATGCTTTAAGAAGGCTATTCAATTAGAATCCAATAACGCCTTATTTTGGATTGGCTTGGGTAATTCCTATGTTTCCACGAATCCGCAAGTTTCCCAACATTGTTTCATCAAAGCTACTTCATTGGAAAGTAGAGATGGTGATATATGGACTAATTTAGCTTCTTTGTACTTAAGATATGGAGACTCAGAACTTGCTCAGCAAGCGTTTGCAAGAGCACAGTCTGTGGCACCACAAAATCCTCAACCATGGTTAGGAAATGCGTTGACTGCCCAAGCAAATGGTGAAGACGCAAAAGCATCAAACTTGTTCACTCATGCGTATGTTTTATCAAACGGGAGATCTCCGTTAGCTCAGTTACTATATGGCTTAGCTATCATAGATAAACGAATTGGTATGTCAGGCAGTGATTGTAGAGACATCGAAACTGCTCAAGAGTTTAGTATTGCTAATTTTGCTATGATGAACTACTTAAAATTCTCTCCTGAAGATGAGACGGGATTAAAAGTTGCCTTGATAATAGCCGAGCGTTGTAAGAGTTATGATGCTGGTGTTAAAATAGGTGAAACATTATGCACCGTCTTAGAAGCGAAATACGAGAAGACTGAAAGCCAGGTTGCATTAAGTGATTATGCAAAGGCTAAAACCCAACTTTCTAGGTTGTACTTGGGATTATCGGAATACGAGAAGGCATTAGAAAATGCTCAAGTGGTATTGGATATTTTGGAAGATGGGAACGAAGTCACACAAGAACACAAAACATCAATACTCTCGTCAAGAGTCACTATTGGGTTGTCATTCTTCTTGAACGACCAATTTGATGAGGCTCTAGAACAATTACAGTTAATCTTAGCCGACCATAACGATTCCGCTAGGCTCATCACATTGACTGCCCAAATATTAAATGCATTTGGTACTGAAGAGACAAAACAAGCTGCTTTAGACCAATTGTTCTCATATATTGAACAACTGGGCTCCTCGTTAATTGTGATATTAACCCTTGGAGCAATCTCTATAGTCGACAATTTGAACGAATATTTCTCTGCTATCAAGGACGAATTAAGAAACCTTCCGTTAGACGAATTGACGAAGGATTCCTTTAAAATAGTCCCTACATTATTAACTGAGATAAATTCAAGACTTGATGCTACAAATCAGGACCAAATATGGCAACGGAACGCAATGTTATTTCCGCTGGATTACAGTGTTTGGAAGCACATGAATAACCAAATGGCCTTAGCTATTGCTTCTTTAAGAGAAACGAAGATAAATGCTGTGGATTTATCAAAGTCATATATCAAGATTGGTGAATTACGCCATATTCAGAGAGGTTTAATCATTCACCCTGGCAACGAAATAGGTAGAAAAGCTTTGAACGGTTGCTTCACGTAAGTTAATTTTGTAGCATAATTTTGCATCACGAGAAAAGACAGCCCGATAAGGTCTATTTTACCATAGTTAACACTTTTACAGGGGCTTCAATTTAAATTATAGGTCTTCTATACATATAGATATATAATATACTTTGTGTATAATACAGCAAACTAATCAAATCGATTGATCGGGCAAATAATAAGTTCATAATTGATTTATTTGGGACTCTTTCAAGTATCTGTATGAGAGCATCGAATCACACCGCATGTCTTACTGCTCATTAAACGTTTAATTACTTACATAAAACAATCAATACAACAGGCTAGTATAAATACTATATTGCAATTGGAAATTGATACCTGATAAGTATAAACTCTAAGGAGTTCATTTTGTTAAAGACAGAATGGTTTCACCCGGGCAGAATGACTTATCTTCTGATAAGAGTCAGATCGATCCTTTTGTTAAAAAGCAGAATGCCAAGTTAACACAAGTAATTCAGAACTTCTTCAGCAAGTCTGTTCAGATAGTTCTACAATCAAGGATCCAGTCAGAAAGTCATAATAAAGAGGAACAGCTCAAGGTAAGAGGTGGTGGTGTTGGGGGTCATAATGCAAGCTCAAAAATCAACAAATGGTTTAATTTACATATGTATAATGATACCTTACCCAAGGAAGAGCTTAAGTTATGGAAGAATGTCAATGATGTGTCCCATATGCCTCCGATGATTATTGAAGTATACTTGGATTTAAGACAATTGACGGCCAGACAAACTGTGGTATTACGGGATGATAATGGTAATCCATGGACAGTGGCGAAGGGAGGTTCAAAAAAGCATGAAGTAGTACTAGAGAGATGGCTTATTGAGTTTGATGCAAATACCGTTTCTGGAACTATAGTAGATGAATTGCCATTGATCTACAAACAGGCAATCATATTGTTTCGAAGTCTATATGGATACACAAGGCTTATGCCGGCTTTCAAATTGAAAAAGAATTTAAATAAATCGAATCTAAGTATAGGGTGTAAGATTCTTGATGGTAAGCAACCGATTAGCTCAAAAGGTAGGATTGGCCTTTCAAAGTCAATTATCCCACATCAAATGTTAACTACTGAATCACATATGAGCCATAAGCATTTCTTGCCTATACAGACCACTTTAGGTACACTTAAGATTTCAATTGCTTATAGGAATCATCATGAATTTTCTATTCATGATAATGAAGAACTATTATCCACTCACTTCATCAATATCGATGATAATGACAAAGATGCTGAAATCACTCCAGTTGAACCTGAGTTTAAGGAGGAATTAAATATTGACGGAGATTCGGCTACCAATGAAAAAGTGAATGAACCTGAAGATGATGAACTGCATCATGCAGACGCTGAAAGTAGCCAGGAACATTTACAATCGGAAGATGCAGATCAATCGTTCGAACAAGGTGCAAAACATATAAGTGGCTCGCGTAAGAAATTTTCTATATCAAATAATGCTTCTATGTCGCTTTCACCATGTTCATCAGGTCCCCAAACTGTGACGGAAGATTCACCATCACATAATAAGCCATCGGCAAATACTCCACCGGTTGTATCACAGCGTCCGACTATTAATCCATTTAAGGTTGGATCTATCAGTACATCTCCACCAGCAACGACGAATTTTGGAGGATCTTCCTTAGAGAGAAAGGTGTCAATTACGAGCAACAAGTCTGCGTCTAATGCTTCATTGGCAGCTATGTTAAGAAATCCCAGGAGTAGTACTTCCTCAACCAACACTACTGCAAATATCCCTATTGCGAATAATAATTCTAATAATCAATATAATTCAGCATTCCCTCGTTCGGTCTCCTCATCTCATGGGTCTAATTTGGCCCATGATAATGATAACATACTTGGGTTTTCTAATCCAGACAATACTTCAAACACTCCAAGATTCTCATCGTCATTTGGTTCCAGAGCTAGCAGGAGATTTTCAAATACAAGTGGACGTCAAAACAGTTTGCCATCTGGTAACATGAATGACACTTCGCTTTTAGCGACAAGCGCAGGACTGGCTTCATCGGATGCTCCAATGAGTGGACTCTACATAGATGATGACATAGGTGATTTTGTACGGATGATCGACAGCAAATCTGACCTCAGGTTTTCAGGCTACAATTCAAATAATGATTCTAAGATTTCGTATAATCAGGGTTCAAACAGTCAGATAGATGCTTTGAATAAATTCCAAATGTTAAAGAACCAGCATCAGCAATTAAGTGACAGCGTGAGCGCCAGTTTAATCTTACACCATAATCAACTTAGCGGAAGCAGGCCATCAAGTAGGAAATCGTCACATTCTATCCACTCTCCTCCTCCTTCGTTACCGTCAGGTTCCTACGATAATTCACACTTGCCCTCAATTAATTCCAAATTGAGAGAAAACAATAGCACCAGTGGAAATGATGATAATAATCCTGATAGAGATTCTGGTACTCCATCTTCACGAAAAAATAGCTTCGATTATTCGACTAACAGCAACACTACGTTCTTGAAATCCCCAATTGCAAATAAGTTAGTATCATCCCCGGTAACCTCAACTACACCTATACATTCGTGTTTGCATAAAACCAATAACGAATCAGGTGTAATCTCCGGTTTGGCTACTACCCCGTCCATTTATAATGATCGCCGTCAAATTCGTTACGAGAGTGTGTTCGATGATGATGATGATGATGATGACTATACAAATAGTGCTGTGGATAATCGCGATCAAGACGATAGCCTAAAATTGTACCTTACCAACAAGCTTGCTAATGCGCCTAAATCTAACACCAATTCAAGAGGTCTTAAATCTTCTTCCAACCCCCCAAATATTGGTGAAGATGACGATGATGATGATGATTTATTATTCACCATGAGTGATATGAATCTTGCTAAACACTGAGGTTCGTAACCCCTATATATGTATATATGTGCTTCATTTAATGATATAATCTAAATATGATATACTGTACTATTGAAGCATTCTAGGTGTTTTATACCCCAATCAAAGTTCCTATATATAATAGAACTGACATTCAGTAAGTGTGGCTTTCGCGATGTTACCCCAGCAAAAGCATTCTTCCGGAAATTGTTTTCAAGGGAACATATTATAGAGCATTGTAACATTAAAGGTATATATGAACAAATAATGTATTCGCTCGTTCATGGAAGGCTTAATTACAGTCGACTCAAAGCATTGTCATATATTCCTCGTAATCTTTTTCATTATTCGAGTACGTTGAGCTTACAATCTCCATTAGAAGCGTACGATTCCAAAGTGGAAGAAGGAAGGTTGAATGATGACCCATATCAAAGAAAGATCATTACTAGTTTATCCAAATTACATGATAAGTTGGCAGATTATACTCCACCAAAAGTAGAAACACCATCTATTCGTGATTTGAAACCGAAAATTGGTTTACGAAAAATAATCGGAACGTTTTTTAGTAATACAAGTAATAATAAATCGTCAGGTCTACCACCTGAACATGAGATGAAAGGTATATATCTCTATGGAGATGTTGGATGTGGGAAAACTATGTTGATGGATTTATTTTACGTTACGATTCCCGAACATTTGAGCAAAAGAAGACTCCATTTTCATCAATTCATGCAACATTTGCACAAGAGATCGCATCTGCTTAAATTAGAGCATAATCACGAAGAATTAGATGTTATACCGTTATTAGCGGCAGAGATTGCCCAGGAATCAACTATTCTTTGTTTTGATGAATTTCAAGTCACAGATGTTGCAGATGCAATGTTGTTACGAAGATTAATGATGTTATTGTTAAGTCCGGATTATGGTGTCATATTATTTGCTACCTCTAATAGAGCTCCAGATGATTTATATATGAATGGGATCCAAAGAGTGTCATTTATACCTTGTATTCAGCAGATTAAGAGACAAACTAGAGTTATTTACTTGAATTCGCCGACAGATTACAGAAAGCTCCCTAGACCAGTTTCTTCTGTATATTGCTTCCCAAAACCAGGTGTAAAATACATGTCGAAAGTCCATCAAGCCAACTGCAAAAAGCATATTGAGCAGTGGTATGAATACTTCAATAACGAGAATGACAATAAGGAAGTACACACAGATTTCTCCTTGCTGGTTTGGGGCAGAAAGTTAAACGTTCCGAAAAGTTCTTTTCCTTATGTTGCTCAATATACGTTTGAAGAATTATGTGGAAGTCCAATGGCCGCAGGTGATTATTTGACCTTGACTAATTCATTCCAATCTTTTATAATCTCAGATATCCCTTACTTAAGTATAGATGTCAGAGATAAAGTAAGACGGTTCATTATATTTTTGGATGCTGTGTATGACGTTCACGGAAGGTTGGCAGTGACTTGTGCTGCACCATTTAAGGATTTGTTTGTAGAGCCTGAAAATTTGATGAAGGACAACTTCCTGTTGTATAAGAAGCAACAAGATATGGGCAAAGAAGAGACCTTCCAGGACGATGAGTTGGTTGTCAAGCACGGATTTGATAAGAGCATAGCAAAGAAGGCTTCAATGTTTGCAAATGATGAAGAAAAATTTGCTTTTGCCAGAGCATTATCAAGACTTTCGCAAATGAGTACCACAGATTGGGTAGATAACGTTAGAGACATTTGATTTTAGATTAGCTGCATATTCATTTTAAATTATTTTCCATCTTATTCTAAATTACACTTCTAACAAAATACAAGACTATTTATACTCCATAATCCTACGAAATAGGTGTCACTAGTGTTCGTGATTCATTTCTAACCCTACATTGAAGTTACCATAGTCTTCTGCACGGACAATATATCATAATATGTCCTCAGTCACTGTAAATCCAGAGAGTAATACACATCATGGTGTAAGGATGTGATGTGTAAGGGTATCATGTAAAAAAAAAATATGTCAATGTTAAAAACTTGGTACTCACTAAAAATACATTTCTGAATAATATTACGTAACAAATATATTCACATAGATGGCTTAGACGGATTATTATATGATCGTTAGTTTTACTATGCGGTTGTTGAAATTTCCCTCTTTATACGTGATAAAATGTCTCATATGTACATTTACCACCAAAAATTCTACATACTTTCATAGATAATCTGTATCGAATTTATATCTAAATATCCACACAAGCTCCGTCTTGCCCCACATGCTATCTTGGTATATTCTAACCTAGAACTTTCGCCTAGAGGTAGATCAATTAAATTTGCAATTATTTAGATGGCTGGGTTAAAATTTGACGTGCATACACCGCATCATTATTGTTCGTGTATTAACCAGCTCGTTTCATTTGCAATTGTTGCTTTGTTTACAGAGGATAAAATTGCCATAGTCTTAAGGATATAGTAAAAGGTTCTCTGATTAAGCCTAGTTTAAAATACCTGTCTGAAAGGTTTTGTATACTAGTTGATTATTCTTTGAAACAAATCAAAAATTGTGCAAGTTTTTGACTATCTATCGCTTATTCACTCGCTTTTAGAATACTACGTGGTAGTTTGATTCAAGTATCAAAACATTAAATTGAGCTTACAACCAAAGTGAACAGTATTTTCGAATAACTGTTGAATTAGGGACGTATTTTTGTTTATCTTTTTTAAAGCCCTAGTCTAATTGGTAATATGAATCACGCAAATCAGTCACAATCTTCGTTGAATGATAATAACTATTATGATATATCCATCGGCAGAAATGTGTCAGGTAACGGCATGAACGGTAATAAGACATTTCCATCTGTTTATCCTCCAAGGAGGGTTGGGTCATTAAGTTCATTACTTACTTTAAATGACTCTAAAAGACCTGGCGATTACTACATCCAAAAAATGAGTAACAGCTCAATTAACTTGACTGGAAGCAATCCGAAACAAAAACATACGGGTTCACTTAATGTCGCCAATAGACCTAAGTCTGGCGAATCCATACTATCGTTACAATCCAATTATTCCGACGAGACGTCGCTGGCTAATTCGTCACAATTTGATGTGCCAGATTCAAGGTTGAGCTCATTGACTAGTAACTCCCTTATCTCCCCAAGTCAGTCACCATCTCATCATCAGTTTGGGGCTAATAAAAATTCCAGTGCGAACTCTAGTGCAAACACTAGTAATTCTGCTAGCGAATCTAATGATAAAACTAATGATAAAATTAATGAAGAAAATGAAAATGAGGATGAAAGCAACGATCAGATTAACTCATCTCTATCAACACTTACTTTGAAAAATCAAAGTATTGATTCGAATTCTGATCTATCATATAATCAATCACCATCTGCAGGCCAAGTTGTTAGACCAAGGTTGAAAGCATCATCCACGACAAATGTCATCAAACAAAGACCACCGAAGCTTCAAGCAATGAAGTCAGCCACATCCTTACAAAGAGCAAAAACAAAATTCCTTAGTGCGAAAGAAACTAAAGAAAGACAGCAGCTACGTAAAAAGCTTTATGATGAAAATGACGACGACGACATACTAGCTAATGACCTTGATATTTTCAATGTTCCAGTTATTAAAAATCATGCTGAGTTATACATCAATAATAATTCTTCGAAGTATTTATCTCGTCACGATTTAGTAACTGATGATAGCAAATATAATGTAAACAGTTCAACTGACATGAAACCTTGTCCCTTGCCTGGAAGATTAAATTCAACTTCTGACATATCTTGCAGCTCTAATATAAGAACTGATATTTCAGATGACAGTATCTTGGAAGAAAATGAAAATTCATTTTCCTTAGGTGCTGATAACGATGGTGAGATTTCCCAGAATATTTCAAACTTTTACAACCAAAGATCGGAGTCAGTTTCAAAGTTAAAGAAAATGACTAGAGAGCAGAATATGATGTATAAACTTCCAACGTTTATTAAATCACAGTCTTCTATCGAAGATATAAACTTAATTTCACCTGAGAAGATAAACTGTTTGGATCAGACGAGGCCAATTAATCTTCCTCCAAAAACTATTACTGATAAATCAAAGCACAATAAAGAATTTCAACGGGTGTTAAATAATTACGAGAATAATACGAAATTGTTCAATGAATCAAGGAAGAGAGTTAGTGAGTCAATAGTTAATCAACAACAACAATGGTTTAAGTTAATGATGAGTAATGAGAAAGAATTCAACAAGAAATTGTCGAGTGATAAGGTTATGGTTAGAAAATTATCGTGGGAATCAAATTGTCCTGATAAATTTAGGTACGAGTTTTTTATGAACGCTCTATCTCAAGATAATGAACAGACCATAACAAACTTAAAGAATTCCTTCGAGGCATCGAAAAACAAATATAACAACTTATCTCATTCGATTAAGATTAATAAGGATATTGAATTTAAAAATCTCATTGATTTAATATTGCAAAGACCACTTTATGATTCGATTATGAAAGAATTTAATGAAAATTCTGAAGTTAATTTTAGTTTGGATGACTTTAAGACTGACTTTAAATATTTGCTTTATATTAAGTCATTATCTGAAAGCGGCTTACGAAAACAGGATGAAATTTTCTTGATTCCATTCTTTTTGATTTTGTTGCAGAATGAAAACACAATGCAAGAGATTTACGTATTGATTGAATTAATTAACCATGAAGTTTTAGATGGCCAATTTTTGAAAGAGTTAAATAAGTCATTTGGAGCTTGGACGAGTGTTCATAATTTTTCTTCGTCAAGTATTCTATACAAATTCTTATACAAGTTTAACAATTTGAAAGAATTTGAAAATTTGAATTCCATTCATTTTTTTGAAATGCTTATTCAAATTAACGATAAATTACCATTAAGTTTGTCTGCTCCTTCCACTCCGGTAGTTAGCCAATCTGGGCAATTTTCATTTGCGAGCCCAAAAACTAATGGAGGTGACTCTAGCAATTCCTCAAAAACAAACTCAATCGATCAGATGAGCGAATTGAGTATACAAAATGCATTGAATTCATCTGCGTATAATCTAATTTTGAAGTTTCTTCAATTGATCATAGTATATGCACATTCTAAGAAGACAAAAAGTAAGAATAATTTAAAAGTCTTCCAAAGTTTCCTTATGATTATCTTCCAATACTATCACATAAACTGGAATAATTATAGTGAATTAGTCAAATTGAATAGATCAATTAAATTAAATAACAGTGCAGATCAATCGGCTAATTTAGAATGCTTTGTTGATAAGTGGAAGGACGCTTTCAAAAGATTTTAAAAATGATTCTGTTCTATCATATTATCTTTTTTTTTTTTTATTTGTATTACAATTATAACTGGGTTTGGTATATATAGGTTTTAGTTCAAATATTTATTATGTCTTTTAGAAATATAAATTCATATTGTACATAGTGTTACATATCCATATCTAATTCTATAGAATCGGGATTATTTTCTTCTTTTGGTTCAGATACGGCAATAGACGATACCTTCGGTCCTTGAGACGACTTTACAAAACCCATTGGGTTCAACGAATTCTTCAAAATAATATCATTTTCAAACTCGGTGACAATCTTTCTTTTATATCTTAACATATCTTTAAAGGTAGCTTCATTACCATGATTTAGTTCAAAGGTTTCCCAATTATGCCAAACTGGTTCTACTAAAGGATTTTGAGGGTTGGATAATTGACACACATATTTAAATAACGATCTAACCCGATTAAGTTCCATCAATTCAGTCTCAAAGTTGATAAATTCCATCGTTAACTGAATCAAATTAGGTAATGTAAGTTGGTCGTCTTTGAGTGATTGCTCATAAATCTTTCTTGTCTCATTATAATCATTAAGTTTGAGTATTTTATTTATTAAGACTTGATAAATATCAAACTTGTCCCTAAGTATAGTATCCTTTTCTGCCTTGGTATAAAATTCTTGATTATAACCATCATCCAATTTACTCAACGCTTGTTGTAAGATCTTAATTGATTTAGTAGCCCACCCTTTATTTTGTTCGTATTGAGAGTATAACAAGTAAACAGGTTTACATAAGTTTGCAGGGCATCCATTATAGCCTTCTATAGAAGATTCATTTAAGCATTGCTCGAATAAATCTCTTATTCTCTCTATATTTAATTCATGCTTTATTATTTTCGAAAGATATATGTTCCAGATTTCGAATTTTATTTTAGAATCTTTGAAAATCTTCAATCCCATTTCATAAGCGGAAAATGACCGTTCATAAAAGTTCCATTCCTCCAAAAAGTTAGCAAAATTAATTATAGTTAAAGGAGTAGCAATCTTAAGGTCAATTGTTATATTATATGCATTAATTACTTTCTCTATCTCATCAATCTGATTATTGTTCTCTATCATTGACTCTAACAAATCCAAATAAAAAGACCACAATTTGATAGACTTTTGAACCCTTATATGTATATCAATCGAAGAATCATTGTAATCAAATTTGCCACGTTCCGAAGTACATACATCCTCAACAATTTCAATTGCTTTCTTGTCATCATTATGCTTTACAAAAAGTTCACACCACTCAATATATAAAGTAGCGAGATCATCAGGAGATTGAAATTGAGATTTTACAGATTTGGAGAATATAAGGTTTGCTGTCTTTACATCATTCTGTGAGGCATAAACATTCGCATAATTAATCCATAGGCTGGGTAATGTATTTTCCTTTTTGTTAGACAACGAGTGAGCTTTCAAAGGATTAATAGTCCTCAATGCAGCTGCATAAGTATCTAGCATCCTGTTGATATCGCTATCCTTCTTGTAGAGCTCGATTTTTTTAAACCATTCGTCCAAATTATTCATATCTTGCCTTAGCATCATGTCGTTCAATAAATATGGTCTATCATTTATTAATTTTTCAAAAACATTCATTCTTAAATCCAACTCATTATTCAAGTCTGGATCTTCACCTACTTTTTCAAGCTTTTCACTCATATTAGTCAAGATATTTTCCTCAAACTCAGTATATGAATCAAATATCATAGTAAAATCTTTAACCGAAACACATGTTTTCAAACCTTCATCAAAATAATATCTTGCTTTAAAAAGGTTTTTACGTTTAATAAAATAGAAAGTCAATTTCAAGTAAAACTTACCTATCTGGTCTGGAAATTTCTGCAATCCATCCTTGATTAATTTCTCAAAGAAATAGTCAAATTCATTATAATTGACTGTACTTCGCTTGTTTTTTGAGACAGAGCTTACTAACAAGTCAATATACTCAATCCACAACTGTAATGGTGATTTAGATAGGCCAATAAACTTATCCGTATGTTGTAATATGTGCTGAAATAGTTTAGATGCCTCTTTAACATCACCAAATTCAACCAACTTCGAAATTATGTCATCTATCGTTATTCCAAGCTCACCCTCATGTTCATTATTCAATCCCTGAAGTGATTCTGGAGTCGCATACTGCAAATATTTCAAGTAAACCTTGACTCCTGTCATTCCTCCAACATCATCTGCAAATCGTATATATAATGGCCAAATTAAATGATGCTGACTTATTGGCAAATTATACAAGCATTCGTTGAATTTTCTTCTTAGCAATGTTATTTCGTAAGGCTGTTTCTCAACTAGAAATTCAAGATATTTGATCCATAATACTGGTGCTCTATTGAGTAATTGTAGCGACCTTTCGAATACCATATTCACCAGAATTATTTCGGATTTACTCTTATAGCTGACTGAATTCCGTACTTCCTGCAAAACCAAGTCAATATAAATCATCCATAACTTGTACGACCTTGGTAGTTGTTTAACTGCCCTTTCTAGTATGAATACTCTATTTTGAAATGTACATGATGATGTTGATGATTTAAATCTGTAATATCTTAACCAATTTGATAAATTATTAGGATTTTTTGCTATCTCTTGTTCGTATGGAATATCGTTTTCACCAACTAGTCCTTCTATATCCCATACTGATCCTGACATACTGTAGGTTTATCTTCGGTGGCCTCTTTTTCTCTACTTAGCATCTCTTCTTATCAAGTATTCCTAACAAAATTCACATGTTACACAAAACTGTTTGCTTCTTCCAAATTGTGAATTTAGATTTCTCCTTTAATTAACTTGATAGACTACCTTAAATAATCAATTGAAAAGATATATAGTAGGTATAACAGTTGAAAATGTCTGGTGCTGGAAACAGAGAACAAGTGTTCCCTACCCGTATGACTTTAGGGTTAATGAAGGGAAAATTGAAGGGTGCTCAGCAAGGACATTCCCTTTTAAAGAGAAAATCTGAAGCATTGACTAAAAGATTCAGAGACATTACCCAGAGAATCGATGACGCAAAAAGAAAGATGGGTAGAGTGATGCAAACTGCAGCGTTCTCGTTAGCAGAAGTGCAGTATGCCACTGGTGATAATATCTCATACCTGGTTCAAGAGTCTGTACAGAATGCCAGATTTCAAGTCAAAGCCAAGCAGGAAAATGTTTCAGGTGTCTACTTACCAACGTTCGAAAGTCACATCAATGAAGATATTAATGATTTCAAGATGACTGGTTTGGGTAGAGGTGGTCAACAGGTCCAGAAAGCCAAAATGGTGTACACCAAGGCAGTGGAAACATTGGTGGAATTGGCGTCATTGCAAACCGCATTTATAATCTTGGACGAGGTGATTAAAGTGACTAATAGAAGAGTCAACGCGATTGAGCACGTTATTATCCCTAGAACCGAAAATACCATCAGTTATATTAATTCAGAATTGGATGAGTTGGACAGAGAAGAGTTCTACCGGTTGAAAAAAGTCCAAGAAAAGAAGCAAGAAGCTGCAGCCATTACGGAAGCAGAGGAAGCAGCGGAAGCAGAAAATAAAGACAAAAAACTGCAACAAATAGATGAAACTGAGGTCAGAAAGGAAGTCGCAGATTTGGATGTCAAGGCACATGGTGAACAAGACCTATTGAAAGAAACCGAAGATGATGTTATATTCTGATATTTGTGTATATTAGCATTTACTTTCAATTCATATCCTTCTTTACTTGCTCTCACATTTCTTTTCTTAAATAAATACATTAGTCCGCTAGAGTCTGATAAAACCTTGTAATTGTTCATCCACGTGAAAGGTGTTCATAGTAAGTAACTTATCATAATCCCACCCGTAAATACATTTGATATTTGGAATATATACAATGATACTTCAGCCGTCCGAAATATTCTCGGGGCGATTGGTTCGTTTGAGCGATTATTGTTCCGTTCTTATCTATTTTCATCCGATTGTGTTTTCCGAGAAATAATTTTTACGAGAGATCTATCATTAGAAGTCGATATATCCTGGCTTAATTCCTAAGTTGACATCGAATGGGAGAATGTCATATGAGGTGACAAGAAGATGGTAAATAACAGTGGCATCTATTGTCATGGATGGGCACTGCTATAATTCAACCCATACGGAACAAATGATCAATTAGGAAAAAGCCACGAATCCCTAAATTACTAAAAAATAATGTTGACTGTACATTTATTGTCTAAAGCAATTATACATATATACATTTCTAGTAGATCGTTTATGGGGCAGCGTAACCACCATCAACCAATAAGTCCGAACCTGTCGTGTAAGTAGAAGCATCGGATGCAAAATATAAGTAAGCACCAACTAATTCTTGAGGAAGTGCTTCTCTTCCTAATGGAATCAATTGCCACCATTTAGCCTTGACTTCCGCAGGAACAAAGTCGGAAATCTCTGTTGCAATGTAACCTGGCGAAATGGTGTTAACTCTAGCGAATGGAGCCCATTCGACAGCTAAAGATTTACCCAAGTGCAACACACCAGCCTTAGCAGCATTGTATGGAGCTTGCATTTGTGGAACATTCACAATGTGGCCAGACATCGATGCTGTTAACACAAGAGAACCCTTTCCGTGCTTCTGGAAAATCTTTCCGACAGTCTTTGCGCAGTAGTACACTCCACTCAAGTCCAAATCTACAACCCTTTTCCATGACTCGAATCCCTCCGCTTCGATGCTTCTGCCATCGGTCCATGGCACACCAGCATTAGCGACGAAGACGTCAATAGTGCCGAAATCCTTTTCAATTTGTCCGATCACCCTTTCCACATCTTCTGGGTCCGAAATGTTACACTTGTACGCCTTGGATTTCACTCCGTAGGTCTTGGTTAAGTATTCAGCCTTAGCATCTGCATTCTTAGAATTATACCATACAGCAACATCTGCTCCTGCTTGAGCATATGCTTCAGCAACAGCCCAGCCAATACCACCTGAAGATCCAGTGACAGAAGCTACCTTTCCCTTTAATGAGAACAAATCATTAACGTTCTTGGAAAGTTGTGGGGCCTTGGTTGGTAAAGGTCCTAATTCCTCGTTGATCATTGATGTTGGGTGTGACATTTTTGGTTTTCTAATTGTAGTAGTACTAGTATTAGTTTTCTATTTATAAACTCGAGTAAGAAATTAACCGGTGTATGGAAAATCGAAGATATAACTCACTTATATACCACCGGGATTCTGATAGTTGCTACAATGACGTAGTGGAATTGACCCGGCCACGACCGGGAATCTTGGTTCCTATATAACTATACATATTAATGTATATCTACGTATATGCTACGTAATCTTTACCGCAATTAGTAAACACGAACTGCAGGAGGCACGGGTTTACAGTCGTTTTCATCCAATGTTGTTTTAACAACATCTCTGTAATCCAATTCGACCTTATCACCGAAGTTTTTCTGGTAGGACAAGGTGTGCTTACGCCAGTTTTCGTCATCTCTGTTTGGATAATCATCTCTCGCGTGGGCACCTCTTGATTCCTTTCTAGCAGCAGCCGAGTATGCGGTCTGGGTAGCACAGGTCAACAAATTTTGCAATTCCATTGTTTCTACCAAGTCCGAGTTCCAGATCATCGATCTGTCGGTAGTCTTCACGTGTTCAAAGGTCTTGTCGATCTTGTCAATGTTTTCGACACATTGGTCCAACACCTCTTGCGTTCTGAAGACAGCACATCCTCTTTGCATAGTTTTCTGCATTTCACCCCTGATCGAGGCGGTGGTGTGGCTACCGTCGGCTGTTCTCAAGTGGTGCAAGTTTTCGATCGACTCTTTACCCATGTGCTCGTCCAATGGCTTGAAAGGTGTACCAGGAGTCAATTGCTCGCTGATAGTGTGACCAACAGCTCTTCCGAACACAACTAAGTCCAATAACGAGTTTGCACCCAATCTGTTGGCACCGTGGACGGAGGCACATGCGGCTTCACCACAAGCAAACAATCCTGGGACAATCTCATCCTTTCCGTCAGGACCCTTTTTCAAAACTTCTGTCTTATAGTTGGTTGGGATACCACCCATATTGTAGTGAACAGTAGGCAAAATTGGAATTGGTTCCTTGGTGACATCAACCCCGGCGAAAATATGCGCGGTTTCAGAAATACCTGGTAATCTTTCCTTCAAAACAGACGGAGGCAAGTGAGACAATTGCAAGTAGATGTGGTCCTTTTCCTTACCGACACCTCTTCCTTCATTTATTTCTAAAGTCATGGCACGAGAAACCACATCTCTTGATGCCAAATCTTTAGCGTGTGGAGCATAACGTTCCATGAATCTTTCACCTTCGGAATTAAGCAAGAACCCACCTTCACCTCTTGCACCTTCAGTGATCAAACAACCAGATCCATAAATACCAGATGGATGGAATTGGACGAATTCCATATCTTCTAATGGTAAGCCAGCTCTAGAAACCATAGCGAAACCGTCACCAGTACAAGTATGTGCGGACGTGCATGAGAAATAGGTTCTTCCGTAACCACCGGTAGCAATAATCGTTTTGTGGGCTTGGAACCTATGAATTGTACCGTCTTCTTGGTTATACGCGATAACACCTACACATTCACCGTCCTGCATCATCAAATCCATGGCAAAAAATTCAACAAAGAAATGGGTATCGTTTCTCAACGATTGTCCGTATAAAGTGTGCAACAATGAATGTCCAGTTCTGTCTGCAACAGCACAAGTCCTGTATGCTTGTCCTCCCTTACCGAATTCTTTCGCTTGTCCACCAAATGCTCTTTGGTAGATTCTGCCTTCTTCGTTTCTAGAGAATGGAACACCATAGTTTTCTAATTCGTAAATCGAGGCTGGAGCTTCCTTGGTCATGTAATGGATAGCATCTTGATCTCCCAACCAATCTGATCCCTTCACGGTATCATACATGTGCCAATGCCAGTCATCCTTATGCATATTACCCAACGCAGCGTTTATACCCCCCTGAGCTGCAACCGTGTGTGATCTCGTTGGAAATAACTTTGAAACACAAGCAGTTTTATACCCGGCGTCTGATAATCCGTATGCTGCTCTTAACCCAGCACCCCCGGCTCCCACGACAAGACAATCGTACTGATGGTCAATGACATGGTAGTCCTTTTGCAAGTATTTGGTTGCATTCAATTGAGTTCCTTTGATGTTCCCAATAGTTTGGAATCTAGTAGCCGAAGTGCCGAAATATCTACGTAACATTATCGAATTACTATGAAGAAGAGATTATAATCACTATTAACGAAAAGTTAATAAAAAAAACCCCATATTAGTAATATGAAATATTCCTGTATAATATGTAAAGAGCAATTTCATCCTAGACAAGTCTTTATTCAATATGAATAGACTTCCCTGGTCCCGGTATATCGAGAAAACCCTCGTAACCCATCCCCTCTTACAACTACGATAGTTTTGATTCGAAATACATGAGAAACTGTTTAAAATTCGATCTATATGCTCGAAAATTTTTCATATGTGTTCAGCATAACAGATTAGGATGTTTCGGGTAAGGATTCTTACCTCTTAACGATACCAAATACATCCATCAAGTTTTGGATATGAGATTCTATACTGTCATAGGTATTCCATTCATTCATCCAGACGGAAAATGCAAAATCAATAATATACACATTTCCGGTATATTTTCCTTCCTTGTGTAGTTCCGTACCTGTGAATCACTTCCAATTGTTTCTTGGCTCCTTTATACAAATTAATTCCATTCTGTAAGAGTATGATTTCTATATACTGAAGTATGTTGGAAGTGTGTGTGGTAGTGTTGATCAATGGTATCCTACCGTTTTGTGGGGCATATAGAAGTTGTTAAATTCTGGATCATATCTGCTAAATCCATCGTTGGTTATTATACACTTTAGAGCATGGCTGCAATGTCTCCTTATAGCTACATTTGTAATTGAAGTGTATCCCGATTGGCCATTCTGGAGTCATAGGATTATGCAACGAGCTTTTCATTATCGTCAATTTGATAGCGCAGATACTTCTTTGTAGCGAGTCTCAGCTGCAGCAAGCCGCGAATTGTAATTGCTACTCATCTTCTGTAGTGGGTCTCACCTCAAGCATCCTTCTTGTTAAATCTTGTTTCATTTACAAGAGCAATTTTTTGCACATGTACAGGGATGAAAATACTCGGATAAAGGTTTTTCTTTCTAATGAATATTTCTAGTCTGTTATCATCAACCGAATAGCTGCTGGATTTTTTTGCAATCCGACATTATTCTTTCCATGTGAAATAACGGCAATATAAGAATCCGTAATACCCCGGTCAATACATTTTGCAACCTCTTATACAACGGATTTGCAATAGGTTCTGTGTAGTCTTTATCTTTATGATTCATTAGGTTCCGTATTACTTCAAAGCATATTCACATCTTATCTATTAGTAAACTTGAAAGAGCCATCACAGTCGCTTAATGGCTTCATATCAAAATACCAAGTATAATTGTAAAGCAAATACCCATTAATCCCTGTTAGAAGAGTACCAACTTGCTTTTGGTTCCCATTTCTAATCAAGACCTACATACAGTTCCATACAAGCCCAAAGGCATATTAATGAGAGTTTTCGTTTATTCCTTGCTACTCAGTTCAAGTATACTACATCCAATTTCAACCATTAGCTACAATTTGAATTTTAATATTAAGTTGTCTATAATTATTTAATATATGATGGAAAAATAAATAAAATAAAAATCTATTGTACAAAAATTAATCAGAGCGAACAGTAACCACCGTCGACAATGATGTCTGTACCAGTTGTGAAAGTAGAAGCATCTGAACCTAAGTACAAGTAAGCACCGACTAATTCTCTTGGTAAACCTTGTCTACCCTTTGGAGTCATGGAGTACCAAACGTTCTTGATGTCATCTGGAACGAAGTCAGATAACTCGGTTGCAATGTAACCTGGAGAAACAGTGTTGACTCTAGCGAATGGAGCCCATTCACCAGCTAAAGACTTACCTAAGTGCAAAACACCGGCCTTGGCAGCATTGTAAGCGGCTTGTAATTGTGGAACGTTGACAATGTGGGCAGACATGGAAGCTGTCATAACTAAAGAACCTCTACCTTGTTGTCTGAAAATTCTACCTATGTGTTTGGCACAGTAGTAAACACCGTTCAAATCGACGTTCATTACATTGTGCCATTCGTCGTCGTTGTCTTGGTCGATCATAGCACCAGAAGTCCATGCAATACCGGCATTAGCGACAAAAATGTCAACCTCGGTGAAGTCAGATTGGATTTGTTCAATAACTTTCTTAACTTGTTCTGCCTTTCTGACGTCACAGTTGTAGAAGTTAACTTGGGTCTTTGGGTACTTTTGTTGCAACTGTTCCAAAACTAATTGGTTTTCAGCGTAGTCAATAATGGCCAATTTGGCTAACCCAGCTTGACAGTAAGCTTCCGAGATACAGAATCCAATACCACTGATACCACCAGTCACGACTGCTGACTTACCAGTCAACAAAAATAATTCGAGAACTGAATCTGGTAAAGTTGGGAATTGGGCTGGTAAGGTACCGATGTCCTTGTTACAAACTGATTGTGGGCCTTGAACTTGTTCAACTGTCATTTCTATGCTAATATAATGGATAAGATTATCTGTGTCCTAAAAAAAATTCCGCCAACCTATACGATTCATACCAGTATTTATATTTGGCAGAACTCCACTAGCTCCGCAAGACGGTTGGTGTCCATCGGAAAATTTTAAAAAAGAAATAATGTTTTATACACTCTGTCCAAATCAATATAGCGGTTTAGATAATTGAGAACAATAGTGATATGCATAGATGACCTATTTGAAAAATTAGAAGAGATAATTACAGAATCGCGCGTTGACTATGCATCTGTTAGCAGATATTATGGCTGTAACGGTTGAGGTGCTAGTACATTACTGGCCGCCTTCTCAAATTTTACCACTAAACATTCCGAATTTCACATAATTAAAACTTCCGGTAATAGATGTTGATATTGGTAGGGTCATCTATACATATTACACAATACATCCGCCTGGGTTTATGACGTACCCCAATAATGAATGTGATGTGGAGGACATGGCTGGGACAAGCGATTAGGACTAATGTGGGAGTGTTGGCCTACAACTATGTTTACGGCTACCCATCTGGAAATAGGTGGGTTTGAATGGTTGCGAGAGTAAGATACATTGTAAACGTGGAATTTAATCAACGGTCCGTGCCGTCATATGAATAAAAAATGCAGCAGGGGCATTTGGCGAAAATTTCTTTTGGAATGGATCGGAGCGTAGCGGAAAAACTTTCTTTATGCCGATCAGGAGCTGCATATATATACAGATTGTGAAATCAATGTTAACAAGACGGGCGTGTGGTCTAGTGGTATGATTCTCGCTTTGGGCGACGATTTAGGAGACTAAATTGATAACTACAAGCATGCGAGAGGCCCTGGGTTCAATTCCCAGCTCGCCCCGATTATTTTTTTATTTGCGCACAGGAGAATCTTTTTTCCTCTGGTTTGCGGCCCGCGAAACTTTTCTTCAATCGGCATTGTGAGATCCAAGAATAACGGAAGCATATAATGTAAGGATATATGTAACCCTCAAGACGTAATACGAGTAAGTTCTGGGTATTTGTTGAAAATTTTTATCTCACGACGTGCGTCATAGTTGAGGAGCGATTGTGTATTAATTACAGGCCGACTTTAGAGCTATTCGACGATATAGTATGTAGAGATTGTTGTAGTATTGAGAGGGAGATGAGATATTATCTTATCTTTAAACAGCTGTTACGGTAAGATATTTCTATAGAAGATCGCTTTAATATTTGTGTTCGTAGAACTTATTCGTATTATTTGTATAATTTCGCAATCATTAGTTGATTCAGTAAAAATACTATGTTGACATTTATTTAGTATTAAGGTGGACCCAAGTGGACCCAAGTGGACTCAAATAGACTGTGACCAATTGGTGCCAAGACTCATATAACCTCTTACTAATCTACGTTGTTATCAAGATTTGAATCTTTCTTAGCTTCGTCTTGGTTAGACTGAGAGACTTTTGGGGGACTTTGTGGCAGTTTTTGTGGAGGGTTTGGTGCAGGATCGAGTTATCAACTTAATTCAATTATTTCCTAACGTTGCACTGTTATACAACCCAGCATAATCAATCATTTGAATATGGATCACGAAGATCTCACAGCATCGCATTGGGACGATGTGATATCGCCTCATTCAGAATACACGTATAATGCAACCAGTCCATCCATTCCCCCATTAAACAACCAATTTGGCGAGTTATCGGTAGATGATAGCGAGGACAACGACGAAGATGACGAAGAAGACCAAGAAGAAGGGGACGAAGTACAAAACCCTCAAACTCCACGCCATGGATATAGTAACCCGATAGATGAACAGAGAGACGAGCTAGAAAAGGACGAAAGAAATGAACACAAACACAAGTTGTTATCGGAGCTCACGCACGGATCAGAAGAGAATCAGCTAGAATCGCTTATAAAAACGCCTGAACATATCAATCCATCGGAATCGCTTTTTAACGAGAAAGATAGTCCGATAAAACCTTCCACTTCTGTATCTAATGAGCAACCAATCTCTCCAAAAAAGGTGTCCAATTTGAAGACGAGTAAATACAAGCCTACAAGACTACGCAAGTTTAGTTCCAAGACTATCGTTCATCACCTTGGTAATGAAAAAAACAAAAAGGAGCCATTGGGCCCATTGGGAGAGCTGACTGACGCAAGGATTAACAAAGAATCTGCCCCATCTAGTAGCAATGGTGATAGTCTGAATAACAATAATAAGGATCTATTGGTTCAGCAGATCGAGGCACCGTTATACGATATAGATAATGGTACTAAAAACGAAACTCCCCACAAAATAGGCCATTCTAGCCAAAAATCAGCTTCCAATGATGACTCAAATATTGCTCATACAGTGAATGCGCCATCAAATTTGGAAATATCGGTTGGGGATCCAATGAAAGTAGGGGATATTACTAACGCTCATATTGTATATTCCATCAAAACCAAGAACAAGAAACCTGATTCTCAATTATTGCCACGAGGCACCGATACGTTTATAGTATCTAGGCGTTACAAAGACTTCCGGTGGATATACCATCAATTACAAAATAATCATCCTGGTAAGATAATTCCGCCACCTCCAACAAAACAAACTTACATTGGAAGATTTAACGAGAATTTTATCGAGAATAGAAGATTATCTTTAGAAAAGATGTTAAATAAAATTAGTCATAGCCCGTCATTACAAGAAGACCCCGATTTTATAATGTTTTTGGTGAGCGAAGATTTTGGCAATGAGTCCAAAGAAAGAGAAAAATTGAGTGGCTCGGGAGCTTCATTACAAAATGACGAATTTTTGGATAATGAGAGTAATACATCTAATACAGATTCCACTCCCGTTACTGTTGGTAACAATGCCGGAGGATTCATGAGTTCAATATTCTCAATGTCACAAAAAATCGAAGAACCCGATGAATATTTTATCCAAAAGAAAGAATATATTGAGAGCTTAGAACATAATTTAAGAGTTTTCTATAAATCAATCGAGTTGATAAACAACCAGAGGCAAGAAATGGCAGGATTAGTAGACGAAATATCGTTGACTATCGACGAACTAGCAAGCTTGGAGATCCTGAAAATTACAACCGATTTGTTGAGTTCCTTCAGTGATGTACAGCTAAAATTAAAGGAAAACCTCGATCGCATAAATTTGCAGGATCAATTAACGTTGGGATTTACAATAGAGGAATATTTAAGAATCATTGGGTCGATCAAATATGTATTTGAATCGAGATCAAAACTTTATCAACAATATTATAATTTCAATCAGGAGTACATTAAAAAACAAGCTCAATTAAGCAAGCTAAACAAAAAATTCAGAGTTCAAAATGATAAAGCCAGCAACTTAAATTTTGAAGTCGACAAATTGAGAGCTAAGGTGCAAACATTTGAAAAGAAGTTCAATTTGATTAGTGAAACAATAAAATCAGAACTTGAAAGATTCGAGTTTGAAAAAATCGATGATTTCAGAAACAGTGTTGAAATATTTATCGAAAGTTCAATAGAATCGCAAAAGGAAGCCATCGAACTATGGGAAACGTTTTATGAACGGGAGAATTTATCTAAGATTTGAATCGTGCAGATAAAATGGGATTGGTTTTCCTATCTATTGTGAATCAATTACGACCGTTTTATGTATTATGCGCACGTGTAGATTACACTCTAATATAAAGAGTTCCGGTTTTAATGAGATGACTCTTCAAAGCATTTGGGAAGTAAATAAATTAAATAAATGAAAAATTTATATGTAATGTGTAGTCTTCGTATTAGTTGGCTATTCACCATTTTAATCCTTAGGAGTGTGGATATAGACGTTTCTTGACGAATACAGTTTCAATTGAGCATAGTCATGCATACTCAGGCACATTTAAACCCTACTGAGTTATCTATTCTATCCATCCCACGAGAGAACTGTTGGATATTTGCTAGTCCTATACTACGATTGCTACATTATGAATCATTAAAGGTTAATCGATTCAATACAGGTTACGAGTCGGACTTCTCGACTGAAGACGGTGAAGACGAAACAGATGAGGTTGATAGAAAGGAAGAGTATGAAGAATACGATGATGATATGATTCAACAGATAATTACGGGTCTTTCATCCAGTTGGTGTATACCGAATTCCAATACGCGTTCTACTCGCAGAAATGAATCCATGTTACCTATGTCGTCAAGTGGCTATTTGGAGAAGAGTGGTTTACAGGTTGATAATTCGAGTAAAGGTGATCCACAGCGAGATGCCTTTGATTCCTCCGATGAAAGTATCGGCAGTGACAGTATAAGAGGCGACGATAACGGGATTGAAAATGAAAAGCACGACGACAATTATTTTTTTCACATTGCATTCACGCCTATCGAGTGTACTGTAATCTGCTCGAGTCACTTAATGAAAAAGTTATTTGAAGAACCGTTAAGTTTATGTCAACAATTGAAATATGATAAGGTAAAATTGATAGACGAGTCGTTTTTAAGCTTGCTTATTGATAGTGATGGAAGTTTTGATAATAGTTCCCAGATTTTAGAATTAACCAAACCATTATCAGAAAATGATATTTCGTTATTTTTCTTATCTAGCCACTTTAGCAACATTGTTTTAATACCCTACAATTTAAAAGAAAAGGTTATTGCTATTTTATCGAAACAAAATTTTGAATTTTCGGACATTTCAAATAGTTACATTGTCAGCCAAATAGATGATGATAGCGAACTGGAAGATGCTGACATATCACAAGAAATTGAAGCGATTAATCTTGAGTCTAGAGCATTCCAATTATTCAAGCAAACTAATATACAGCCAAGAATCAATAGCAATGTCAATCTTTTACTTACAGGAGCAAGACCCGGTGAAGTGAAAAATACAATTTTGAAAACTGCTAAAAACATTTCATCTGGTACCATTCCAGACTACTTCTCTATAACCAGGACATCAGTCAATGAAGTCTCTCTTCTTTTACCCAAATCACCTAGAAGGAGATCACTGATGGGCTTCAGTTCAAAAAATATCATTGGCTCGATTCAAGATGTTATTGTTCCGATTACTGTTGATTTATATAAATTACCGTTGGATTCAACTGGTATTGTTGCAGGTCTCGCTAGCAGAATCATTAATGGTGTTAAATTAGCGGCTCAGACTGATTATCCGTTCGAAATGAATTATTTATCAATGGCTCAATCTGCAATTATCATGGTGCCAAAAGAAAACCTCTCTTTGGTTTCGGATATCTTGAGCAATATTAGTTATGACTGATACGTAACAAAATGCAATCAATAAGTGATTTCGTTTGGTTAATAAAAGCGCTTTTCTAATATGATATAAATATATGGGTCATTTCATCGACTTAAGGTAATTTGTAGCGAATGCTTTTTCAACACAGCTAAAAACTTGTATTATGTTGATAATACTAAGAAAATACAATGCAGACATGCTTTAGGAAGATCTTTTTTTTCTCTTTATAGCTACAACGTATAGAGACACGTATATTGAGGAGACATAATCGATGAACTTATCACATACTGCAATATAAAATACTAGAGTTCTACTTCGAAAATACTTGGAAAGATTATTATTATTCAGATCTAAAAGAGAATCATACAAATGAAATAATTTATCCAATTTTGAACGACCTTGATAACAACAGGACACCATCAATGAAGCCTCGAGTAATACCTTGAATCCACAGATTATCAGATTATCAATAACTTTTTGTATGAAATTTAACTTACGCATGATAAATTAAATAGCGGAGGGTTGGGGTCAACGTCATAAAATAGCTGTAATTACCGATCTGTCACATAGTTCATAACAGTTAACACTGAAAAAAAAAGATAATACTGCCTCTGTTATTCTCAACGTATAGCAGAATTCTGATGTTGGTTTATAACTTGCAAGGAATAAATAAATTCATCCCGTAAAGCTCTCCACCAGGAACCGTCAAAAATTAAACCTAAATTAGAAGAACTGGCATAATTTACCACTACTGCTAAGATTGCTATGACACAAGATAATTGTATAAAGCTTTTGAAAAAACAATTCATTTTAAAAGGAATATTCGATTAGCTTAGTTTAACATTTTCGATTCTAATATTTTTTATTTAGTCGAGCATAAATACTTCTTAATTTAAAATCTTTGCAAATCAAGATTACTGAACGCAAATTTATTATTTTTACTTAGCTAACTATATGTTTTAGAATTTCTTGCCCTTCTTCTTAGATTTGACACTAGTACTCCAACCTTCTTCGTCGATAGTTGAAACCTTGTCAGCACTAGATATAATAGCCGAACCCCAGGATACTTCGTCTTGAGCTCCAATTTGTTGTTCTACTTGTTGTCTTCTCTTTAAGAATTCCTGAGCAAACCTTCTTCCGTCCATTGTAGCGGACGAGCTATACACTGTTTCTGAAATCAATTGTGAAGAATCATTGTTCAGAGGTAAAGTAGTAAAAATGTCTAATAAGTCATCTTTCGAAACTGTAGGATATAAATTTGTCATGGAGGATCTAGCCCAGATAAGGAACTCCTCTTTTAACGCCATATTATTTGCTGTTGATTTGGTAGGCTTTATAGCCGATACAGAACGTAATAACTGTGGATTTGCTTTAGAAGCAGACGTAGTGGTCGTTGAGATGGTTGGTTGAGATGGCTTTTTAACAAGCGGTTTTTTAGGAGTTACCACAGTCCAAGGACTGTCATCCTTAGGAACCGAATTGGCTAATGCGGTAGCAAAGGAGGATTTAGGTGCTGCGGATACAACAGGTGAGACATCAGTAGCTTTAGCTTTGGCTTTCGCAGCCTCGAATTCTTCCCTTTGGATTTCAGCTAAAGTTTTCTTTGTCACAGCTGGCTTAGAATTAGCATTAATACCCCAGCTTGAAGTCTTTGGAAGACTTGGTTTTTCTTCAACTACTCTTTCTTCAAGTTTTGCTTTAGCAAGTTGTTCACTTTTGATAGCGGCTTCAATTTGTTTTTGTTCTTTAACCTTTTCTGCTTCAACCATTTGAATCTCCTTTAAGGTTAATGCAGGCTTGGTGTTAGAATCTTGACTAGTAGAAGTGATCGATGCCCAAGGAGCAAGTTTTGGTTGAGCATTTGCTGATTTTGGCTCATTATCCTCTTGTACAAGAGACTCAACACGCATCGTTGATGAGCCAACGCTGGATTTCGATTCCCGAGCTTGCTGAGTTTCTGGTTGAGATTGATACGGCGCCTTATTTTCATCATTCTTCTTCTCTTCTTGTATAGCTTTATTCTGTTGCTTTTGTTGTTTTTGCTGTTTTTGTTTTAATTTTGGTTGTTCAACTACTGGTTCAGTCAACTCTTCTTCGCCATCGTTCAAAATGTCAGTTACAACGGATGTATGAATACCATCTAAAACTGAATCATGCTGGTTGCTTGGATCATGATTTGGAGATGATTGTTCACTATTACCTTGCTTTTCACTACCGGCTAATGTTGACGATGGTACAAATGGAGAATTAACGCGAGACAGAGATTGAACTCCAGATAACCATGGAGACATAGGTGCTTGAGACATCTGGGAAGGAAGTACTGGAGCAACCGATACAGGGGTACCTGGGGTGCTTCCCATACGCTTTTGATGATCAATTCCCCAACCACTATTGCCGCCAGATAATACTGGGTTTTGTTGCAGTAATAATGACGGCATGTTATTGATATGTTGTAATGGGTTGCTCAAAGGTTGAGAATGATTGAACCCAATACCCGAATTCATCGGATCAATACCGAATTGATTTGAGTTGGAAAAGGCATTAGTTGCCAGTGGAGTCAAAGGGCTTGAAAAAGGGTCATTATGATGATTCATAAAGTCATTTCCAAACAAATTGCTTTGCGGATTAATTGAAGTATTTAATCTCATATTTCCTACTCCAAGATTACCGGGCCCACTTGACAAAAATTGAAACTGAGACAGGGAAGGGTGCATTCCAGACGCCGAAAACGAAGCTTGATCGTCATTAGCTACTGCATTACCGAAATTCGATAAATCAGGAAGTGGCACTTTAAATGGTTGAATGTAGTTTTGAACCTTATCACATAATTCCTTTAAAGTCTGGTAATTCCTCTCTTCTTTCCTTCTAATTTTCAAATCAAGATTTAAGTAGCCATCAGTCAACCATTCTTGCATCATATCACCGTTGAATGGGCCTTGCTCATTTCCACTTGGATCAACATAAAACCATTCAATCTTATCGGGCGTCAAAATAGTAAGCTGCGGTTGTCCTGAGGATTGTTCATAGTCAGGTTGAGAATCATATTTAGGATGATTCATGCCTGGAGGTGGGCCTTGCGACTTCATTTGCGATGCAAAATCCATTTCGTCTGTAGTCGACAAATTTTCTAAAGGCTCAATTAATTCAGACCTAGATCCACTATAATTAGCCTGGTTGCCACCAGTAGGGCCCAACGGTTGTAAATCTAAATGGTAAATCTGTCCTGGCTTGCTCAACTTATAGTTCTCATTATGTTGTACAGGTAACTCTACGTTTGAACCCAATATTTGGTCTTTATTTTCAAACCAAACTTGAAATACCTCGTTCATATTGTAACGCTTTCCACCCTTATTAGGAGGAATAGTTGGATTGCTATTTGCAAAAGATGGGGACATGCTTTCACCTTGAATTCGTTGAGAATTATCTTGGTTCGATTCAATATGTCCATTGCCGAACTCAGATTGTTGAGCTTTACGACTCCTAGTTAAAATGTTAGTATATATGCCAAATAAGTGTGTTTTTGGGTCCTATTCATTACGAAAGCCATTACATACCATGAAGTTTGTGACATCTTTTAAAGTACTAGACGGTTTTTAGATGGTTTTTGGGTAATTTTTTTAGAATAAAAAGTTGAATGCAATCAAAATATGAGTTATGCTTTAATAATTCAAGACCAATTGTACAGCAAGTTGATTATTTAAAAACTTGTGAATATTTTCTTTATTCTTCTTCACCTAGTCGAACAAATTTTCAGAAACTTTTGATCTTCAGCAGACAGAAATCGGGACTGTATATGGAGGCTGAAAAATTTCCGCCGGGTAACCTAGATGTATACCAATATCTACAGGCTACAAAGGCTCTAACTACCTTATGATAGAGTAAGGTACATCAATATGGGATGATGGAAGTCAAGCTTAAGTTAAGACGTTATCAAAGAAAGAAAGAAAATTTAATAAATTTAGAAAACGAATGGAAATGACTTACATATAACGCAATGAACATTAAAAGACATGAATTCTAAGTACGGCGAATAACGAATCCTAAATATTGTAAGGTAATGAAAAGGATGCTATAATTATTGACATGGAAACCAATTTGTAATCGAGATGATTCATAGATCACTGGGATCATAATATGAAATGCCGGGATCTTGTATTATTGAGCATGTATTCTTACATACCCATCTTCTTTTCCATTTCAGTGTGGAAATCTTGAACATGGTTTCCGCTTTCTAATCCACCACGATAGATATCCTCCCAGTCTAGGCTTGCGTCCTTGTTGAGCAAGACATCCTTGTGCATACTGTCTGGCCCGCCTAACAATTGAGGCTTGAAATCAGTTGCTTCCACCAATTCTAATTCCATAGTTCTCTTGATTGGTTCTCCAGCACCGAAGACTCTTCTGTAGGTTTCTAATCTAGTTTGGTATTGTGTTTCTTCCCAATTGCTGATTCTTCCTTCTAAAGGATGACGGTTATTTATCTTGGATGCTAAGTTCAAAGGACCTTCCTGAGTCTTTAAAATATCTTGCAAACCTGGAGCATGAGATGCCGGTTCACCAAATTTGGTACTATTTATGGAAGAATGCTGATTGTTATCAGGAACAATTTTTAACGACTGATACATTGTTAGTAACCACAAAATTATCTAAATTATACTATATTTGACAATTGAAAATCACGGATCACCAATTAACATAAAGCGATGCAGATATACATACCATTTTAGGTGTAGTTGTTTTATTATTACAGATATAATCCTTGATATATTAACAGTCTTTATTATCGGCAGTGGCGAACTTGATAGTAGAGGGTCGCGCGCGACACAAAATACATCATATCAATATGCAGTCATATATATATATATACACATAGATATATGGTCAATAGAGCCTATATAGTATTCAGCTACATTCTTTCGATGGGTTCATCGACGACATCAATAAGTCTTTCATAAGGACCATTAGACTTTAAAGAATGAGGAACAAAGCTCCATTCTTCAGGATTTAATACTCCGTTAAAGCATAAGGTACCGAATACCAAGACTACAAAACCCACGAATTGTAGAAAATGGAACGATTCCCAGCCCATAAATATTGCAAGAAGCCACACCGATAAAGTACGGCAAGTATCGATCGTAGATCTTGCGGTAGCGGATAATTCATGGGTCAAAGAAATGCCAAAAAAGTTAAATGATGCAATCGACACCATTATGAAGACTGACGAGATCAATATTTCACGAGAGCCAAAAAGCTGGGAAAATGATTCCGCAAGATTGAAAGGCGAGTTGATAAACTTCTTAGGGGGTGAGATTGCTCCTATTACGAAGTTTAATATTATCATTATAGTCAATAGGATTGTAGCCCCGTAGAAGCCTTCGAAATAAACCAATTTCAACGGCACGATGGATTTCTTACTCAAGATATGTTCTTCAACTACAAACTGAATGGCCTGGAATAATGCTGCTAGAACAATTAACGAGATACCAATGATAACGAGAGCAGAAGCATCCTTCTTGGCCATTGTTTGAGCAGCATCACTTTCAGATGACTTAGACCCACTCAATCCAACAATGACCACCCCTAAAGTGACAATAATCAATGAAATCCACTCTAGCTTCGTAATTTTTCTCTTCAAAAAAAGAACCGACAAAATGGCCACAAATAATACAATCGACCCCCTCGTCATTTGATAGATTGACACAGGAGTATATATTAACCCCACATTCAATAACGTGGTGGCAGTCATGTCACATATCGACGGAAGTGCCAACTTAAAACTATCGAATATCGATAAATCTTCGTCTGCTGGCTCGTTCAATGGATTGTACCCATTCCCCTTACCAAACCGTGATTTGTATACCATATAATATACCAAAAAACATGACAACTCCCCAATAAACATTTGTAATGTCTGCAATGCTGGCTGGTTAAATGTCTTGTGCTTATTCTCGTTGGGATTGGAACAATTGTGAACACATTGGTTATCTTGATATTTAGTAAATAGTGAGTTCATACATCCTGTGGTGATGCACCCAACCACTAATATCACTAAATAAAATCTTGACGCCATATCTATATAATGACCTCGTTCTTAATAGTATCTGTAGCTCTTCTACAGCTGATTTGACCTCTAGTTGTCCCTAAATCACTGATCGTGTTTCAAAAGGTCCGTTCACATCTACTTATGGTCCTCAAACATTAAGTACTGACCGCCCAATCGGGTAATGTTCCATCACGTGAACCAATATCGAGCCGCATGATGGGCATCGTCCCATTAGGTATGGGGCAAGGTATATCTTGCAATAACAGTCTTTAAATGTAGATATAGTTCTAATATGAAGCAATAAACATATAGAGCTGATGACAAGGAACACAACAATATACAAAACTTCAAGGTCAATAGCGTATATCATGATTTATTATGCTATCAAACTTTCATAAATCATTACCACCAACTATATCGCATTCCTGTAACCGCCACAATTCAAGTTACCCCCTATAAGTTGAGAAATATACTAAACTGATGTAATAAAATTGAACCATGATAATATAAATCTTCAATTACATACACAAGGCCGTCAATACCGTCTTGAACTACTGGTTCCCATAGTTAAGTCTCATATGCGACTTTTAGTGACATTCGACTCAGCTCCCATAGTTAAGACGGTGCGGGTTACATAATATCGAGGGTTACCCGACTTCCGAGAAGAGATACAAATTTTTCACTCCATCGAATAATAGAAAAAAAACTGTACTAGAAAGGTTTATAGATTCAAGAACACTATTGAATTGTATTAAACGGTTTCTATACTTCGTTTTAACAGCTTATAAATATACAATAGAAAATGGCTTTCGGTGCTCCAAGAGGTAGAGGCGGTGACAGAGGCGGATTCGGTGGCCGTGGTGGATCCAGAGGTGGATTCGGTGGTGGTCGTGGTGGCCGTGGTGGATCCAGAGGTGGATTCGGCGGTGACAGAGGTGGATTCGGTGGTGACAGAGGTGGACGTGGTGGCCGTGGTGGTGCCAGAGGTGGCCGTGGTGCTCCAAGAGGTGGTGCTAGAGGTGGCCGTGGTGGTGCTAGAGGTGGTGCCAGAGGCGGTGCCAAGGTTGTTATCGAACCACACAGACACGCCGGTGTCTTCATTGCCAGAGGTAAGGAAGATTTGTTAGTTACCAGAAACATTGCTCCAGGTGAATCTGTGTACGGTGAAAAGAGAATCTCGATTGAAGAGCCATCCAAGGAAGAAGGTGCTGCTCCAACCAAGATCGAATACCGTGTGTGGAATCCTTTCAGATCCAAGTTGGCTGCTGGTATTATGGGTGGTATCGATGAATTAGGTATTGCTCCAGGTAAGAAGGTGTTATATTTGGGTGCTGCTTCCGGTACTTCTGTTTCTCACGTCGCCGATGTTGTTGGTCCAGAAGGTATGGTTTATGCCGTTGAATTCTCTCACAGACCAGGTAGAGAATTGATTGGTATGGCCAAGAAGAGACCTAATGTCATCCCAATTATTGACGATGCTCGTCACCCACAAAAATACCGTATGTTGATTGGTATGGTCGACGCTGTTTTCGCCGATGTTGCCCAACCAGATCAAGCCCGTATTATTGCCTTGAACTCCCACTTATTCTTAAAGGACCAAGGTACCGTTGTCATCTCCATTAAGGCTAACTGTATTGACTCCACTGTCGATGCTGAAACCGTTTTTGCCAGAGAAGTCCAAAAATTGAGAGAAGAAAGAATCAAGCCATTAGAACAATTAACTTTAGAACCTTATGAAAGAGATCATTGTATTGTCGTCGGTCGTTACGTCAGAAGTGGTTTAAAGAAATAAATCTAACCTAAAGGTTTATATATTTCTTTCTTTCATACCATCTTCAAGTTTCTGTTCATTATAAGCAATTCATGTACTTTATTTTAAAAAATTCGAGAAGCTGTTTCTTGTATTGTTTTCTTCACTGTGTATGTATCACATGAAATAGGTCTTAACATTTATAGTTATTCATTCAATATGGCATTTTAAATATAATCGTTACTTAATTATTATTGTGCTTGTATATAGCTATCTTGCTAAGTATCAGTTTTGTGTTCCTAAATTGGTGTTATCAAAATCGAACAAACTTAGTACTTAAACCATAGACCGTATTGAGTTGCTCTGAACTTGTATTCCTATATAGAAAAGAAGCTGTGTGTTAGGTGTTTTAAAGAGAAAAAAATATAGATCTATTGATTGAAGCTAGTTGAGTGGCGTTTGAACAAAGATTAAAATTTTGCAATGCCCAAAGACCCTATAGACATGAGCCGGAATGGCGAATATTTAGCAAATATGGAGAATGAGGGCGCAAATGGTGATTCGGACTCCCAGCAAGAAGTGATAGAGATTTTGACGGATGATGAGGAAGATAATCGTGAGTCCAGTTTCGATAGCAATAATCTTACGAATAGTGACGAACCTCTTATTGTTAGGGACCATTATGACGATGATGACATACAAATAACAGGAGCAAATACTATGAATTTTAACGAGGGAGCCCGCAGAAGAATACGACGTCGTAATAATGCAGCACATATGGATCAATCAAGGAATGTCAGGAGGCGACCTAATGATGATGAGGATGACATACAAATTATTGATGAACGTCCAGCAGAAAGACGGCTCATTCCGCCAGTAGATATGCTCCCTAGTTATGCATCTGACAGTCTTCGTCGAAGAGTGCAAGGAATTGAAACTCCAATAGGGGTGTTTCAATCCAACGAAAATAGTAGTACGTCTTTCTCAGGATCCGAAAGTGAACGAGGTCTCAGATACACAGAGCCACCTCGTCGGAATCCCTTAAGATCAAGAAGGGCAAGGAGAATGAGACCCCCAAGAAACGATTTTGTTGCATTGGATCACTTTGTGCTATCTCAGCAATTATATCACAATCTATATGGCAATTGGAATGGTAATGAAGTCCTTCCTAATGCAGACGCAGTTGAAGGGTCTGTCATGGCAAGAATCGAAAGGGATAATGAAAATGCAGTAGATCAGAGATTACAAAATGAGAATATATACAACAGAGCTGCATTAAAAAACAAGAAGGAAATTGCGGAGAAAGAATTGCCTGGGTATACTAATGACATTAAAGCCGACGTAAATATATGCTGTGATCTATGTGGTATAACATTAGGCGAAGGTATTCCAAATGATTTCAAGCCTAATATGTACTACAATGAGGAAGAAAATTTTACAAAGTTTTGTGAGGAGTACAAAGTGCAAGCACCATGGTTCTGTATTAGACAATGCTTGCCGGTTGATATTGACTTATCAAAACGTGTATTTGTTGCAAAATGTGGTCATATATATTGTGGAAGATGTGTAAAGAACATAGGGAACAGACCTGCGGGGCGGAGAAAACAAAATCAAAAGTTAACGATCGACAACCCTTTGGTGTATGCACCAAGGAAGTGTACAAACTCTGAATGCAATCTGTCTTTCACAGGCAAGAAGTCATTCACAGAATTGTATTTTTAATGAATTGCATTTTATGTATTTAATTTTACATTTAGTATAAATCGTATAGAGCTTAAAAAACTGGCCAATTAAATATTCAAGAAATGATGAACTAAAAATATTCATAATTGTAGAATTTATTATGAACGAACTAGAGACAGAAAAATTGTTAGTTTAATAACTTACTGCAAATAAACACATCATCAATCTACCCGTGCTTCTGACAATGTCAAAGGTTTAATGTTATTCGAGAAAACAGAAGATCCAGTCTTGAACCTATTGATCTTCTTCAATTTTTCTCTGACAACCATAACTGGCACTGTCAGCTTGGTTACCAAATAGTTAGATAATGAACCCAACAATACCCCTTTGATCGCAGACTGACCTTTCGAACCCACTACCGCCAAGGTTGGCTGTAAGTTTTCAATAATTTCCAAAATCAAATGTCTTGGAATTGGGTGATGAATAATCTCAATGACTATATGAATTTGTAATTTTGTTAATTTCAATAAGTTCAAGACTTGTTGTTTCGCTTTATTTAACATATTGAGTCTTTGGTTTTCTCTTGTAGATTCATTCAAGGTATTACCTTTTAAATGATGATTATTGTCATTTTCTTCAATGACGCAAACAATAAATAATACTGATCCATCTACAAGAACGGTACCAAGACACCATTCCAATGCAAATATCGACTCAGGTGAGAAGTCCATACAGACAAGGAAGATCTTTGGTTTAACTCTAGGATTGATCAATTGGAAGAAATTACCTCTGGTTATAACTTGAATTGCTCTTGAATTGCTCTTGTTTGAATCAATTTCTCCTTCTTTTATTGTTTCGTTCAATTTTGACGCAAACTCAGAGTCCAACTTATCTTCAACAGCAGACGTATAGGGAATCATAAAGTCTTTTTCATTTGTTTCGTCATGCCTGTCGCTTAACGACGAAGACTCGTCTTCGTTGCTGTCATTTGGCTTTAAATTATCATTTTCTTGATCAATAATCTTCTTTCTGTAAATAGAATAGTTTTCGAGCTTCTGCTTCCTGGACGCAGCATCTTGTTCACTCCTGCTAAGGTCCAATCCATTTCCAGTCAATTCGTGCTTGTCATTTTTCAATTTGTCCAAAAAATCCTTATCAACATTACTACCAATATTCTTGGCATTAGCAAACGCTCTTTCGTTAGCTGTCAATTCTTCCAATTTTTTGGTCACCGATCTATCATGTAAGTTCGAATTTTCTAAAATAGACGATATTTCATTTATCTTATCATCTTGACATGCGTAGTTTGGTAATATATTCCCAGTATCGTCATAGTGGAATTTCTCATTATCTTCATTATCACTAATATGTTCTTCCTCACTAACTTCATTATTCCATAATTCATTCACATCATCTTCATTCTCGTTCTGTTCACCAATATTCTTCTGCACAAGTCTCTCCAGTGGATCGTGGTTCGTTATTGACCATTTTAAGTCCCTATTGAATTCGTCATTCAGTATCAGAGACGATCTGCTGTTGTGCCCGGATTTCGAAGGAGAAAGTGATCTACCCCTATTCATTGTACCAGATTGCC